TTTAAGCCTTTAACAGCAACTATTAAAAAGTTGAACCTGGTCCACAGGACTGAAACAGTAGAAGACACATTGGAGCCAAGGTTATAAACAAGATATCTGACACAGCCATTAGATATATTTGCAATATATCTTTACAGGTGTTTTCCTTTTATTTTTTAAACAAAAAATTCTACATGCCTTATCAAAATGATGGTGTATGTAATGCAACACGCGCATTTGCTTTAGGATTTTGTTTCAGTGTGTCAGCCATAATTTTTTATAGAATGAAGTTATTTATAAACCTCACTAGCTGAATACCAGGATGCAAAACGCTATTTTGGCTGTAATGTTAGTACATCTGATTCATTTGGCCACTTGGGGTAGTGCATATCGTTTGTATTATTATTATTTATTTTTTTTTCGGATAAAGCACAAACAAAGCACCATGAAAGGATCAGCTTCCTTCATCTGTTCACATCTCTGTACACCCCATGACTCAGTTCTACTGACTCATGTCCCAAAGCAGATTGTTAACAGATTTCCTTCAAATCTGTCTCTTCCACTGTTGATCCATCAAGCCTGTTGTGTTTGCATGTCTCTCTGTCATTGCTCACAGTCGGATTGTATATTCTTCCATCTGTACACTACAAGATTTGTTCCTGTCGTTATAAATGAAGTCTTTGTTTAGTTGCTGTAAGAGTTGGGACACTTGTTGGCAAAGAACAGGCCCCTACTGGCAGACATAAGCCCCCCCGCTTAGCTGGGAGTAAAACACACCTCCACTGAACTTAAAGTCTCGTGTATACACAGTTACAAATCACAGACCCAAACTCCTCCACATTAGAGAAGCACACATCTTGTTAAGGTTGAAGGGTGCTCACAGCTGTAGGGTCAGTGCTCTCGTTCAAAGTGAGACCCCCACCACACACACCAACAGTCTCACAAACACACACACACACATTTAACAGGGGAAACAACAGGTCTTGGCGGCAGAAGGAGCAGCTGCTCTCTAAGGTCAGATTACAGATAAAGAAAACATTTTAGGTTCCGGGCCAGGAAAGCTGCTCTCTGACAAGAGCTAGAAACATGGCCTTATTCCTCCTTACACAGAACACACATATGCACATGTTTAACTGCAGCGCCTTCATTTAGGAGATAAATCTAAGGTGATGAGCTGGCACAAGTGTCAAGCTGTGTGCTCTCTGCGTTTGCTGAAGGCACCACTGCCTTTTTAAGACTCATGAAAGCACGAGCCCATCTTCCAAAAAAAAAAGGAAAAAAAAAAATCAGTCACCACCTTCCCCTCTCCCTTCTGTGTCTGTGTTTGGCCCTAATAAATTCTCTCCAGCTCCTCCAATAACTTCCTCCTACTTCCTATCTGGCAAGGCACTCAGGAAACAATCAGAGCTGAGAGTGAGAGGAGGGCTGGACGGCCAACAGCTCACACGGCAAGAGACAGAAAGAAAGGCAGAGGGAAAAGCTAAGACAAACACATGAACACACACGTACCACATACACACTCTGTCAAGTCAGACATTTGCAGTTTGATACCAGCTGCCTGCCCGAGGAGAAAAATAAGGCTCAGAATAACGTCTTGCACGCAGAAAAGAAAGCGATCTGAGCTGGAAGTGTCTGGCACACATTCCTCGATTATTTACACCATGAAAATGAAGAGAAATGACTATTATTTATTGCTTTCTTTTAATCATTTCACATAGCATGGAAACCAACTAACATGCTGCATGGAGGCAAAAAGAGGTGGCTGGTTTCCTATGAGTCACAGAGTCTAAGGCGGATAAATGAGTATCACACGTCAAGGCACAGCATGAACATAAGGCCCGATTCATTCATTTGTTGTTCTATTTTAACACTGGATGCTGCTGGCTATTTGGTCTACCTTGAACTGTGACACGTTCAGAGATTTAAGCCTAATCCAGCTGAAAAGGGAAAGACTGACACAAAGCAGGGCCAGAAAGCCAGAGAGCTTTTTTTTTTTTTTCTTCTTTACAGCCTGAATCAGCATTTTAATCGGAAATTTTCTGGGGAACGTAGCAGAGAAGCCATTCTAGCCTGAATTGGTCATTTTGTGGTGAGAGGAGCGGTTTAAAGCCATAATCTGTGAAACCTTTAAGACATGCATAACTTTGCAGCAGAATGCACCAGCCAATAATTCATGCAACCGTATAAATCGTGGCACAAGGCATTTAAAAGCAGCCACGGCTGTGATCAGAGCTGTATACGAGCTGTATCACAAGGGAAAAAAAAAAAACTCCAATCTTACATAAAAAGCACACCCAAAGGTTAAACTTGTTCTTCTGTTGAAGACAAAAGTTTAATCAGCCTAAAAACGACTACACCTGTGATGTTTTATATTAGGAGCAACTAAAATGAACTGTGCTGCAGAGGGAGATCATCCCCCAACCCAAAACACTGAGCAGAGGGATTAAAGGAGTTTCACATGAGTGCCCTTGGGTCACTGGAGCTCCAGTGCGACACAGGCCACACACACACACACACACACACACACACACACACACACACACACACACACACACACACTTTATGAAGCAGTGCAGGAGTAAGCCTCCTGTTATTTATAATGGAGGCTGGAGAGGAGACAGACATTGTCACAAATAACATTTCTTTCTGAGTACTTCTTCTTTCGAGTAAAGAAATGTGGAACATTGCTAACTCTTGGTTGCCAGAGGAAGAACAACTAAAACCTTTAGCAACTTGGGGACATCTGACACAAAGAGTATTCTGTTCTCAGCCACTCCCCAGCTCCTCCCCTCAGTGGTCTGAAGAGGAGGCCAGAAAGCTTATCTGTTCAAACCTCATGGTTTGGAGGATATGTAAACATGTGCAGTGAATTAATGTGAATAAAATGTTGATAAATTGCATTACTGAGGACTGTCAAAGTGAATTCTATTTTGACACTTTCTTTTTTGGCTCTATGACTCCAACAAGTAGCTCAGTCCAGCCGTTACTAGCTGACAGTGTCAAACTGCATATTGTAATCCAGATCATCATTAATGCCTTTCTGCTGAGAGCTGCAGGCTTTTCTCTTTGTGTCCTCACCGCACAGACATAAGTGGTATTTGTTCAGGTCTGGGTTGACAGAGGCAAAAGTGTCCACCATTTGGACGAGAACTTCTGAAACTGGTGCTAAAAAGCGACCAATGTCTGCACAAATGGGCAAAAGCTCATTAGCTGGTCTTCTGTGGGTTTGACACAAACGGGTGAAGCTGCTACTGACAAACGGTCAACAGACCTGCATCCAAAGTAAACTCTCTGCAGCGCAAACACAGGATGCACTTCACCACTGGAATTAGCCCTACACCACAAATAATTTGAAATACCTATAGTAGCTACAGTTTCTGATTAAGCATATTTAAAAAGAAAAATCAAAAACATAAGGGGATTGATTTGTTACCCTAATGAAGAGAACACATGCTCATTAACTCTTCCCTCTAATAAACAGCCCGAAGGAACACAGCTGGGGATGAAAAAAGGAGAGAAAACAGCCACTTTTAGGGGATACTACCACAAGTAATCTAATTGACCTCCGTGACATGGTAAAGCTATAAAACTTTCCCTTAATTTAACTTCTACACAAGTACAAAGTGTAAATGCTCAATCCGCAATTGCTAAGAAATATAAAGTATGTTCAAGGAAAAAAAAAGACCACATTGTACAGTGGGAGGCCTGATGTATTCAGGCTGCATGAAAACAATGAAAGAGAATCTGACGGAACAGCAGAATGCTTAATCCTCTCCAGATTTACCCATCAGCATCAAAATCTATTATTAGGCATCTTGGCGTGTCTCATTTACCAAGGGCACATTGTTTGGTTGTTCATGTTGGTGTTTCATTTCAGAACATTTCCACATGTAGGTCTTAAGCAGGCCCCAAACTGGAGATCTGGCTTCTCAACCATGACCTAACGTGACAGCAAGAAAAGAGACACCCTATTTGATAGCCGATTATCCTTCTGCTTTAAAAGGCTTTAGAGCGGGCTTAAAGGGCTACACCAAATCAATGTCATACTTTAATTTACAACTGTGTTTATGAAAGACAATGATGTGAAAGAAAAAAAAAGAGAAAGGCTTTCCTTCTGCCTTGAGTTTTAGGAAATGTTGCAGGGGAAACAGTAACAGACGTTAACAGGTTATTCTGCTAACAGCGACCAACCTGACAGACCGCATTCTGCCGTTCAGTCAAACGTGTTGACTGTCAGTGATTTAACTGTGCAGTTCATATGACCGCGCAAACTTAGGATAAAGGAGGTGCCAACGTTTGGCTCTGTCAAAACGGACACATATTATTTTCGCCTAGGTCTCTACTAACCACACACAGTTGTATAGCAGGTGTAGCCTGAGGTGGCACTCATATAATTATACAATTAGCTCGCTACGTATCCATGCATCTCAAATCCTCACCTATGAATTATGTACTTAGAAGGACTTTGCAGTGTATCATCACATGCCACGTTTGAAAAAGTCAAGAACAAAGAACTACATAGATAGACAGATAGTTAAATAGATAGACTGATAGTTACTTTCTATAACAACTTTTATTCTGTGGTTTACACTGCATAGTCTTGTACACCTCAATATGCATGTACATAAATAAATTTAGATTTAAGGTGTAATTCCAGATGTGAGTGAAAAAAAAAGCTTTGGTTTTCTAATCTAAAGCTTTAAATGGTTTGATTCATTGCAAACCATTTAAAAATCATTCATATTAATTTGTGAGTGTTTTGATGAAAAAAAATGCTTGATTTAAATTTAGTCTTAAAAATGTATTAACATACTGCAATGTTGTTCACAGTCTGCCCGGCAAGAGCTAAAGCGAAAGCAGACGTAGCTGAGCTGACACACACACACTTTTATATGAGATAATCTTGGTTTGTTTAGGCGTTATCAAGAAAACTACTCTGTATTTGTAATTCCATGTAGGAAGCATCAACAAGACCTCCAGAATTTATTTAACCTCGCTTCCTAATCAAGAAGCTGTCTTACCTTAGTGATGCAGAGGTCCAAATCACGCTGATGTTGTGTATTCCTCTAAAACGTTTTCGTCCAAATCGTCTCTCTCCGTGCTTGTCTGTAAAACTGTTGGATTCTTCTTGAGGAGCAAGGCTGGAAGAGTTGGATCCAGGTATGAACTGTCCGGGACAGAAAACAAACATGTTTTTCCCATTTCCTTCTGTCAAACGAGAAAACCTTTTTCTTTTCTTTTTTTTTCTTTTAGGTAAAAGTATGTGCCAATGAGCGGGCTACCGGTGGAAATATGATTGCACATAGGCTGTCAAAGATATCCATGCACACTGGGAAAGTCAAACACAATAGAGTATCAAACTGCAAATGTTTTCTTCCCTCCCAACGCAGGGAGCTCCGCGGAAAAATGTAAAAAATGACAATGATCTGAAAACTTCACCGAGACAAGCGGCATGAAAAAACTTCCCAGAAAAAAGGCTGTGGACAGAAAGAGGGAACATTTGTGGAAGACTTACCTTTTTATTCTTGCAGTCAGCTTATTCTCCTCAGTGGGGGAAACTGATCAATTCAGTAACTTTGTTATATTTTGGCGCGCTGTTGTTTTCCTTAATATTTCTCAGAGGTTTGACAGTATAAGTGGAATGTTAAGTATGACTTTGGTATGAAATCAACGCACTACACTGGAAAACGAAGGGGGAGGGAAAAAAAAGACTTTCAAGGAGGAGCCATTGGTGCGCGTCAATCAACAAGGTTTTGGAGGGGGGGGTAGTGACTTCACCGCAGGCCCCGCCCACAAAATCCCTGAACGCTGATTGGAAACTCTTGTCCGAAAAACCAGTCTGGCAGTACATACACTCGCAGAAATATGTCAAAGGTAGGAAATATATAAAGGGCATTTACATAAAAGACTCCGTGGCTTTATATAAAAACACTGGAACAGTCTTTAAATGAATCTTTCTAAAACATTATTATTATTATGTTTTATTACTGTAGATAACTTTAAAGAAACATGGAATATTTAATGTTTCAAAACCTTAATGCAATTTTTAAAATTTTCTAAATAATAATATATAGGGTTTAAAATGGAAAATTGTGCAGTTAGTTACATGTGGAAATATTATCCTATCCAAAATATTAGTGATAAAAAGATGAGATAATATGGTATAGTATATAAATATAAACAGAACAGAGAAGATCACAACAAATTACATCACTACTAATCACTACTGAATAAATTGGATTTATATGTTGGAGGTATTTTCACCTGCTGGCTCATCCCCAAGAGGCGACCACAAGCGATGGATATGCATATCTGATTTGGCACAGATTTCACATTGGATGCCCCTTCTGGCACATAAATGATTACCTGGGCTCGTGACCCCCTAAGGCTGGGTTTATGTCTTCTCTCATTCTAAAAGCAGGAATCTTTTGCATGTAAGGCGAATATGTTCACTACTAAATGATGGAGTCACCTTCATGTTGCCTCGAAACTTAATTTTAGTCTTAATTTTACAGTAAGACAGAGAAAAAGAAAATGTTAAGGTCCCCTACACACTCAATAGAAAAACGATGCCATCTCAATGTCACACAGAACAAACAGCACACATTCAATGGTTTACTCTGTGCGTCTGGTTATGTTGATATTTAATTTTCTTCAAATCTAAAGAACAGAAACCTCAGCTTGATGTTTGGTACTTAATAATGGAGAAATACTACAAATATACAAATGATGTATTATGAAAAGCTTTAGTTAGAAATAGTTAACAGACTCAGCTTCATTGTCATTCAACCATTTGACATCTTCCTCTTTCTTCTTATAATTTTCTTAGATCTTAGTATATGCAAAAAAAAAAACCTACTATATTTGAAAAAAGTACTAAAATATTGTCTAACATTATTTAGAATATGTCATCCAGTCTAAGGTTTTGATTATTCTCAACAGTTTAAATGCAAATCCTTCTCTTAGACAACTTTCATGTGAGGAACACAGTTTTCTTTTCCCCCCTAGAATTTTGTTACTTTAATTTTCCCCTAACAGATGTTGACATTAATGCAGCCAAACCTGCATAACTCACAGAGAGTAATTTAAAGCTCCCATAAATGAGAATGAGAATCAGAAGGAGCATTACTACTGCTTAAATGTTATTGACAGAGAGACACAAAGACACACACACAGAGACCTTTACTAGTAATGGAATATTTTATATTATATTAATATTATATTATATAGTATTTTCTTGGCATTTATTGTATAATTACCTCAAGTATATAGCCAATTAGTGAGTGTAATCTGTAACAGTCTTTGTTGTAGTTTTACTTTCACATTTTAGTCTAACTATACAAATAATAATACATTTGTCATGCAATTATACAAATATACGCTGTAAATGCTCATATTACACTAAATTCCCATAGAAACTATGAATATTGCTCTCCCTCGTATTATCGCTTATTTACTGGAAAGAGGGTTTAACTAGTAACCATGTGTGTATCACTGTAAATCTTATAAGCTTACACTCACACCTTTCCATCCAGCAACAGCTCCTTCTGTTGGTCAATAACATGGTTGCAACATTTTTAGATTATGAACGTTTATACACCACACACATATAAGACAGTAGTGTACAGTCATTTTCACACATTGTGTCTAAGAGTACAAATGTATCAGCATGACTACAATAATGTTGGCAGTTGTTTAACTATTGCTCACATTACAGAAAAAAACAATGGGGTAGGAAGAACTCACCTTACAGCATCTCTCCAGAGGAGCTGCCAGGCTTCATTTAATTTGCGAGTCTGGACAACTGCCTGAGCAGGTTCAGGCAGAATACACACCTCTCACTTACTCTGGAGGCCCTCGGTTCAAACAGGTTTTTCCATGCTGAGTGAAGCTCCTCTCAACATGCAGGCAACTGAAGAAAATCGTGGGTGTTTGTAAAACTGGAAACTGGAATGTGACTAAATATCTGCCAAGCGCTCTCTCGCATGAGAAAATAGAACTATAAAACATATTTTATAAATATCTGTTCTAACAGATTTTTATTTTTTTTTTAAACACCCATTAAAACACCATTTGTAGGGTTGGAAGAAGGATTGGGGTAACCTGCATGTCTTGTAATTCTGTGGGGGTACTGAGTGGTACTGACCATCTGCAAACAGTCAGTAGCACTCTAAATTTACTATGTTACTGTGAATCAGGGCGACAAGAAAAGATAAAAAAATGACAACCACAAAAACATGACAAAAACATACATTTATACAAGCTGACTTCAAAGCGATTTAGTTAACAAGGAAATTTAATTCATTTGAATTATTCCCATAAGCCTGCAGCGAAGGCAATGTTTATGAATATAAAGAAATTAAAAAAGACAACATACAAAAACCTACAGGAGTTCACATTAGAGCCAGTTATCTAGAAACATATATATTTGTAGAAACGTAACGTACATGCCTAGAAAAAAGATTTTCACACCTATGTGTATATTAATGTATACAGATACACAAAACGGTTTCACAGTCACTAAATAAAATTGAATAAACTTAAAATAAAAGTGTGTCTTTTGTGCAGATGATTACTGTCACAAAGTATAATTTTCATTTTGCCCTAAAGAGAAATATTTTTATTGTAATTTGGTGTTTCTGCGGTCACATTTGACACAAAAAATTGGCGCTATACAGCAACACAATACGTCAAAGCACAACAAAGCAAAAAAATAAATTCACGGTTTAACATCCTTTAATGATGTTAGTAGTCTTCAAACACCTTCATAAATGAGGTGTACAATTATCTCCCTGAAACATAACTCTCCAGTCACTGGACTCCCAATGGTGTGTCTTTCTGTAGTTCCCAGAAGTTCAGATGATTGCAGTGAAATACTGAGAATGAAAAACAGAGGATTCTTCTGCACCATGTCATGCAAGATCAGACGATAACATGACAACAATTTTGTGTCTTACACCTGGGGGCACTCACACGGATAACAGCAGCACAACAGCAGGTATTGTCACATTCGAGGAACCATTGCTGTTATCGACACCTATCACAGGAAGTGTAGGCGAGTCCAAAGACGCTGGGTTGATCTGATGTGAATGTGGGTTTGTTGCATGCTGGTTTAAGTGTGAGTCCACAACTGAAGACTTGTGTGTTATTCACAAGCGATTTTGCCATCAAAGCTGGAAAGTGCGATGGCAAAGGCCTGCACAGCGCAAAGCGGGTAGTTGTAATCCAGTGTGAAAATGTCATCAGCGATTCGTCCAAACTGCATCACAATGTAGTCCACTGGAAAAAGCAAAAGAATTCATTAATGGAGCAATTATCTTAATAAATAAATAGGTAGTGTTTCGGTAGGTAGGTACGTAAGTAGGCAGGCAGGGAGTTAATAAGATGGATCATGGCAATGTACGTACTTAGAAGTAATAAAATATTCAAGCTGAATCCCCATATTCGTTTATTCTGCATAAACTGCTTGGTCAGTCTAAAGACTGTAAAGCAAGTTCAGCATATAAACTTCAAAATTGACTTGGGATTTTAAAACAAACAAACAAACAAACAAACAAAACATTTGGCATAAATAAGAAATTTCAAATATGAAAAACTGCAGTTCTAAATTTCAGAAGAAATCATTTTTTTAAAAATTGTATCTAAGGGTTGTACAGGCAGAAGTAAAATAATCACTGACCAATGTCTGTCTTATGAGACATAATTTAACTGGCCACTTTATTAGGTACAGTTTGCTAGTACCAGGTTAGGCCTGCTGTTGGCTTAAAAACTGCCTAATTCCTTGTGGGGCAGCACAGCAATGCAGTGGTTAACAATATTGCCCCCAGTGCACACCTTAACATGTTCTCGCCATGCGTGCATGGGTTCAATCCAATTCCTCCAGCACCTTCCCACAGTCCAAACACATGCATGGGGTTAGGTTAACTACGATTTTATTTGAGAGATTTTATTTCATATTGACATAACATAATGCAGCCGGCTGCACATCCATGATGCAAATCTCATGTTCCACCACATCCCGAAGGTGCTCTGGTGGATTGAGATCTGGGGACTGTGCAGGCAATTTCAGTACACTGAACTCACTGTATTCTTCAAGGAATAATTTCTCAGATGATTTGAACTTTGTGGCATGGCACATTATTCTGCTGGTTGCAGGATATACTGTGGTTATTGGGAGATGGACATTGTCAGCAGTAATACGTAGATACTCATTTAGGTTGTGTAGATCTTTGTGTTGTTTTATGCATTGCCAGTAAACTGCTTTTCATTTCTTTGCCCAACTATTTAACATATAGTAGTTGTGGACAAGCAAAAGCCACTCACGATCTTTGTTGTGGACGATCTGGAAGTTCTTGATGGAGGCTTGGGTGACCCTGCCATTGAAGTTTAGCACATGAGATGCCGTCTCTTCGTTCCACACAGGCGTCTTGTTGTGAAGCTCGATCAGATTTTCCATCCTTCTGTTTTGGAATCTTATCAGCAAGCCATCACATTCCTGCAAAGAATTAACAAAACATAAGTGGTAAACATCAACATCAAATAGTTCATTCCCACTGGCCTTGTGTTGCTCTTAATGCTATAGACAAGGCTTAACAAGTCATTTGTGAATATTCAAATTTATTGTTTTTGCTTGAAAGCAGAAAAATAGTAAAGCACATTATTATTCTAATGATTAAGATGACAAATTACAGTTATTTATCTGCATTCTTTAGAAACAAAACTAATCTTAGTTGTTGGGTGTTACGCTTGACTGCACAAGAGTGCAGAGTTAGAACACGTAGTAAGCTCTCTCTGTCTCATTCCTCTTCTCTCCGCAGCACACCTCCACCTCTCCAAACTCTCTTCTATCTGCTCCCTCACTACAAATCACAATGGCCTCTGTAAATATCATAGTCCACAGACACCTTGAATCCATCTGCACTACCCTCACATAATTCTCTACCACTTCTGCCTTCCTCATGCAATGTCACAGTTCTTCTCTTGTAGTGGTGCAACGGATCCAAAATCTCACGGTTCGGCTCGGATCACGGTTTTAAGTCACAGATCGGATCAATTTTTGGATCAGCAAAAAAAGAAAAAAAAGACAAAATTGTTTGCTTGTTAAAAACATTCAGCTCAAGACTCATTCCACGAAATTATATAAAAACAAATTAAGGTGCAGTATAGGGCAGTACAGGGCTTTCCGTTGACCTGGAGGTCCACCCATTTGTAGTTGGGCAACAGAAGATGCCTGGGACAGTTCAGCCATAACTTTAAACTTGTCCTAATCATACATGCCTTGGTACAATCTTGTCACTGAAGTGGACGCGCAACGAGATATCATAGCGTGGCTCAAGCACGTTCATCATAGTTTAAACCCCTTGTTTTGCACAAGGGAATACGACCTCCCGTCTGCAGCTAAACACCCCAGTAGCTTTTGTAATAGCTTTAGCCCGGTCGGATTGGGGAGCAAATGGCTGCTTAAATGCAGCAAAATCCTCTACTCCTCCACTTGGACCACCAGCGCTGGCCATAACTATCACTTGACAGACTGACCACGTGCACCATACACATACGTTTTTTCCTTCTTTTTTGAATCTTCGGATCACGTGCGTCCCGAACCGTGGAGTGCGATCGGTTCGGATTACGGATCAACCGTGATCCGTTGCACCACTATTCTCTTGGCAACTTATCATATCTAGATCAACAAAAACACAGTAAAACTCCTGGACTTCACTTCACGATCAACACTCTCAAAGCAAATATTGCATCTGTTGTGCTCTTTCATAATATAAAACCATATTTGCTGCTCAGTTATTATCAACTCCCTACTTAATCTAGCTTGAACAACTCTTTCCCATATCCTCGTGGTATGGTTCATCAGCTTTATTCCTTCTGTACTTACTGCAGCTTTGCACATCACCATAACTCTTAAAAATCAGTACCAGTACATTTCTCCATTCCTCAGGCCTCCACTTACTCTCCAGGATTGTGTGACTTAAGATTGTGTGACTATAATATCAGATTTAAGCAAGGAGTGAATTTACTTTTCATTTCAAAAACAAAACAAAAACTATGACTAGTCAATTCATATTGAATTTTCATATAGGCCTTTATCTTTTGCCCTCATTGAACTGGTGTTTTATATGATTGCATTTACAATGAATTTACATTTCTTGGTCGGAGGGGTACTCGCTCGTTGTCTTTGCTCATTCCTGGAATGATGACAGTCATCCTTCTGGGTCCTTTTATTCCCAAGACATTGGTTTCCTGTTGTCAGAAATAACCAAAACAAAATCAAATACAGTTCTTATTATTCATACAATATACTGTAGTTAAACGTTCTGCAGTAAAATGACTTACGTAGATGATGCCTGCTAACTCTTGCCGAGCATTAGACATGTCTGGAAGAGCTTTTTCTGGATTCACAGCGTTGTCAAACACAGTGAACTTAGTCCCCATTAAATTTGACCTGGGCAATGTATAAAACACATTCAGTTAAAATGCACCTAATTAATACTTTATATGTGACAGTTTGTTTACCTGCTTTGCAATTTAAACAAAAATCCTTTTACCTCAGCTTTCCCACAAAATTCTCGCCTCCTCTTGATAAATCTGTGGCATCGATGGAGATGAGGTAATTTGAAGTTGTACTTTTCTTTCTCTTCCGTCCAGCCAGTAGAAACGTCTACAAAGAAAGAAAGAAAAAAAGGGGGGGGGGGACAAGACACCGACAAATGACAACTGTCCATGATAACAGTAATCAAAATTAATAAATGAAAGGAGAACTACTGAACGTGCTGTTGTACTGTGTTTACAATTTTGGTCTGCATTTTGCAACTTTTTAAAACATGATACTGACCTTTTTTTCATTGTCTAGATGAAGGTAATACAAAGGGTAGAGGCTCTTATCCATCCCTCTCTGATCCCGAGTCACTCTGCATTTCACAGTCACACCCTGCGGAGCTGGCTCCATTACAAACTTCTCCAAGTTGTCAAATTCAATTTCAGGTGAGGGAGAGCGCTCCTGATAAAGAAGAATAGATAAGAACATTTTAAAACATGGTCCACTCTGAGTGAAAGTTAAAGTGTAATATGACATTAAGTGACTAAAATGTTGTGGTTGATTTGTTTGAAGTCAGATACTTTTTTCTTCTTCCCTTTGCCCTTCTTCTTCTTTGTTTTTTCTTCTTTTTCTGATTCAGAATCATTGCTTTCGTCTGCCTTTGCTGAAAAAAACAACAGAGCTGTTATACGCTTGTCTGTGAATACAACAGAGGAAAGCTTTAGTAATAAACTTGCCTTTTTTCTTTGTCTTCTTGTCTTTGTCCTTATCTGCTGATGTTTGAAACATCGATGCAGAGCCGGAGTTGGATTTTTTCTTTGATCTGGTTGACTTTGTTTCTTCTTCACTGTCATCACTTTCCGATTTGGCCGCTGTTCAGTAAACAAGTGTAAAGTGTCTCAATTTTTGTCATTTTAACATCAAGCATCAAGATGGATGCTATGCGGCAAAGCATTTGGTAAAGTAAACAAAGACAGAGTTTTACAGTTCGTCAGTTTAAAAAATGCAATCACCTTTCTTTTTGCTTTTTGAGTTTTTGTCTTCATTTATCTGGAACATTGAAGCTGGTTCCTTCTTCTTGTCTTTTTCCTTTGACTTGGATTTTTTTTCTTTTCCATCAGAATCTTTGTCATCTAAGGAAAAAAAGTATATAGTTTAATAGAAATGTTGTCTATTCTTAAATGTGATAGCCTGAAGAATTGGAAGCACACACTGAGAAATGGAACAAAATGTAAATTCACTTGTAGAGTATAGAGAGTAATCTTAGTGAACACTGTGGTGTGAGTTCCAAAAAATGCAAACTGTTATCAGTTAAGTCAACAAAGATTTATGTGTGAAACAGATGTGTAGCAACAGAACTAACTTGGAGCATGCCATCTTGACCCAGATTCGGACAGCATGCGAATGTGAGAGTGACTAGGGCTCAGCTTGGATCCACCCGAATTTAGATGTTAAGTTTCCATTATAGTAGTACCTTTTATTAATTTTCAGAGTTAAGGAAAAGCTGATGAAGCAAACTGGGACGCAGACGACATATTTTAGCCCTCAGTTTGTTTACCTTTATAGGATTCAAGCTGCTAAAACAAGGAGTGTATAACTGGGAGGACATCAAAGTGAAGTGAAGGATTTGAACAAATTCCTTGCGCAAATCTGTGGAGCAAATTCTCAGAACCTCGATTACACTCGTAACACTCTCAGTGCTTCCTCTTAAAACGTTTTCCACAATGACGAATTTGTCCCAACATGCCCTCCCGTTTAGACTTACTCCCGTTTAGACTGCTAAAAGTTGTTAGTCCTCCCTGAATGTTTTTGGCAGTGTTGAACTTTGGGGATTAAAAAAACATAGTTAAACATCCGTGGTATGCACAGCTACACTGGTAAAAACCTTTCTAACTCCCTGCCAAGTAAATTACAGAGTAACATTAGCATTCACTTAATAGTTAAGCTTACAGTTACCAAATATTTACTGTATCTTGAGGATAATGTCTGGCTGTTTTTTTTTTCTTTTTAAATTTCCACTATTTTCACAAGTTCACTGTTCCTGTTGTTTGTGACTGAGCAAGAGTGCACAGTGAGTTTTAGAGCTGTCAAGGAAAGCTGACAACAGGACAACCAGAACAAAACTATTAAAGCTGCAAGCAGAAAAAACAAAATGAGGTGAAAGGTGACAAAATGCTTTGGAGAGCATTTTGAGATTGATCACATAACTAATTGTGTGGCCAATCTTCTATTATAAATACTGTATCTCATGCAGAGATTTGAGCCAATAGTTCATTTCTGCAATCAAAGAATGAGTCCTGCTAAAACCAGCTCACTGCAAAATTCTTGACAAACAGGTGAGTTAGAGCGCTTTGGGAATAATTATAGCAACATCATTTCCAAATATCTTATGCTCAGATTCACTGAGCAAATAAATGAAGGGAACAGAAGCAACACTGGTGGGAGAAGGTTATAAGCGCCCTGAGTAAAGTATTCATGTTTACACCTTAACATGTTCACAGTGTCAGCCTGCAGTGTCAGTTCTAAAATAACTGAGGAAGCCTACAAGAACAAAAACCTCACATTCTACCATACAACACCAACTATCAGCTCCAACGTAATCTTGTGATCCCTTCCCAGATGTTTCAAGCCCCACTTACACCTTGCCTCAAGAAACCACAAAAGCTCTCATGATGATGGGGTGAGACAATGTGGTGCAAGGTTTCACACCTTGACCCCGATGATGGCAATGACCCACGCCTTTTTTCACATCTTGGCTCACATCATGATGACTCACATGATTAACAGTGGGTCAGTCACCATTAGGATCACCTCCAAGAGGACAGCCATCACTGGGGGTTAAATACCTGGGAGTTTTTTGAGAACTGAAGCGTCTTGAAGAACTAAAACATCGCAATGAACTGAAAAGATGTCAAGCTGCCTTCTGTTCAAGCACTCAATACTATAGCAACAAGTGCAATTTTATATGGTGATGCCACAACATAAAACCACAAGAATGTCAAACTTAAGGTTCACTTGGACACATTATCTGGGAATCCACAGTAGATTAAGTAGTTTGTTCAATCTGGATAAAAGTTGTGGACAGACCTACTGAATGACTCACACTGCTAAAGCCATGCTGTTAGCAGGACTAAAAATATCCACATTCTAGCAACACCTGAAAGTGATGATGGGATGGAATAAAGAAAATATCTCTTAGAAAACATGGCTTCACATCAAAAATCCAGTTCTGTTTGGATTATTTCACTGATTCAGTTTTCCGATTAATTATTCTGTTTATTTATTCAGAATGTTTTATTCACTTACTTCAAAAACATGCTGGTGTGTAACATCATGCTGCAATAATTAATTACATTTTCCACAGTTAATTACTTAGAGGAAAACCACTTACTTCATTATTATGTGACAACACAGCCAAGTAAGGAAGTGTTTCCACTAAATGGCTCACACGCCATTACACAATAACATCATCTAATCCTCTTAATTACAATCTGGTCATATAACTTCTGTTTAGAGCACACCATTAACGCCCTTTAGACAACAGCTTTCTTCTCCTCATCGTCATACCTTTAGTTTTAGTTTTCTTCTCTCGGGTGGAACTTGCAGGTGGAGAACTATCCTTGGTTGTTTTTTTCTTAGTTTTCTTTTTCGGAGTATCTTCACCGTCCTCTTCATCATCATCATCTGAGTCTGAATCTATAGTAATGGAAATCAGTGCACTCATGGCGTATTTTTGTGGGAGTTACTTAAAGTGTCATTGTATAGGAAACACACCCCAGCTTTAACACATCCCAGTGAAAACTCAATATTACAGTCATTGCTGACTTACCTTTTTTCTTTTTTGGAGCACTTTTTGCTTTCTTTTTAGTCTGTCTTTCCTTTTCTGGTTCCTCTTTGTCTTTTTCTAGCTTCTTTTTCTTCACTTTCTTCCCATCTATAATGTTGATAAGGAAAAAGATATGTAACTGCTTTCGTTAGACTACAATGGAGATGTAAAGAGAAAAATGAGAGAGTAAAAGTTGTTTTTATCTCCTCACTCTGAATGGCAGAACTGTCCTCTTTGGCTACATCTTCATTCTTCTTTGTCTTAGCTTTTTTGGGCTTGGTCTCAATTCCATTCAGCTTGGCTTCTGTTGTACCATTGGCCTCTTCTTTCTTCTTTTTTGGTTTCTATAGATTTTCTTTAAGCACACAAAAAAGATTATTGGTAATACTCATAGAGCCCTTACTACAACTGAGCTAAATTAAAATGGTAAGACATAAAATGCAGTGAAAGATTTAGTCAAACTAGCGAGACTGTTATAAGTACCAACTCACCATCACAAATTCAGGTGTGAGGAAAGCAGTGGGAAGAAAGACAATAAAAAGATGAACAGAAGTGGTATCATTATTTTTTTTCTATTCTAAATGATTCAAATGAAATGAAAGTTGTTTATTTTGCACTGGTAGCTCCTGTCAAATCTGCCTGATAAGTTTAGCTTTTGATTTGTAAATCAGCATAAAGACTGTTTAAAGGAAGTTAATGGAGAAACAGGGCATGAGGTAATAATGATGTGATGCATGTAAGGCTGTCTCGTCTAGAACTGAACAATCTGTTTCTATTCTTGATGAGACCGTTTCATAAGAAACACAAGAAAAGGAGAAACAGGTTTTGCAACAGTTTTATGAAACCTGCCAAGGCCTTCAAGCCCTGGAGAAAACACCCACTGCACTGCTTTGTGATGAAGTCATGCCTGCTGCGATTCCCTGATGAAAACGTGAGAGCTAAAATGGGATCGTAAATTACGAGAAAGTATTTTATACTCAATTCTGATTCTGAAATATAAACTACATTTGTTTTGTGCATCTTAAATGCAGTTATTTATAACTCTTCTTCTTTGGCTTTTCCTTCTTTATCATCTATAACACAAACCTCTTCCTAAAGTGTATACAAGTTTAAGACAAGGGGGCTCTACATAAACTACATAAATAAATAGTTTAAAAAGCAAACAAACAAAACTAAACAACAAAAAACTAAACAAAACAAAAACCAAAACAAAGGGAAGTTATCCTATTCTTTCTTCGCACACCAATCCCCACACCACCACTCTGTCATTACTCCTCTGTTCTTCAAGTTACAGAAAGCCAGCTTGTAAAGGGGGACCAAATACAATCATATTGATGCAATTTGTCTAATAAACCATAAGTCACTTTTTCGTAAGACGCCAACTTAGCCATTGTCTTTAGCCACTCTTCATATGGAGGGGGGTTCTTTTTCTGCCAATGTCTTAGCAGGACCCGTTTGGCCGTAGTAAGAGCCAAAATAATCCATCTTTTTGTATAACTGGAAAAATCTCCATCAGAAAAATCTGTGGTTATACCAAGTATGGACAGTTTTGGTGAGATACCAAATCTCCTTTTTAAAACACTGAAAATGACCTCCATTATATTTCCCCACCAATCCCGAAGTGCCGAACAGCTGCATAAGATATGTAAAATCGAAGCATTTTGACCATCACATCTCCAACATTCGTCCGTAGAGGCCAGGTTCCATTTATACAATTGTTGCGGTGTTCGATACCACCTATGGATTATCTTAAGTTGAATAAATCTACTGCCTGTTTCTTTATACATAGTATTAACATTTTGAAAACATGAATCCCATTCAACTGAAGATATGTCCAATGCCATAAATAGTCCTTTCTGAAATATCTATTTATTTAAAAAAAAAAAAATCATCTAAGCAATGAGATTAGCTTTGATATTTTTTCAGTAAAATACACACAGCCTACATCAGTGATATTAAATTAAAAGTGTTTTATTTTACCAAACATCTCATATATATTTTGAGTCTCAGGACTAAACTTTTGTGCTAAGTGACAGGAACAATATGTCACCATCTAAAGTCACAGACAACGAGGTCAGTGTGATCGCTACTACCGGAGACGGGAAAAGTAATCCTATTAAATGCAGGCCTATTTGCGTCCACAGGAAATCCGCACCTCAGCGTTATGGCAGCAGATTTGACATTTGCTGTATTGTGATGAATTGTTGCAATAAAGTTATCAAATGTCACTGGACACTTTAGCCACATTACCACATTTGTTTATTATATATGTCTATTGGTATAGCACTTATGATTATTGATGCTCATTTTGTAAGTTTAGACTTCACCAACAACAGTCACAAGTGTAGTTAATTTTGGTCAGTTGTACAACTACACAATATGCAACTGTATTGTTCTCAAATATAATGTTACTGAGTCAAATTAACAAATTTTACTGATGGTGCAAGATTTGCCAAAAAAATCCAGGACAATACATAAATAAATAAATATAGAAATAAAAGTATAGTAAGAATTAAGACAATGCTTTTGCAGTTGCATTTGGTTCAGACATCCACCATAGCAGCATTCCAGTTTGCTTGAACGTCTGGATTACTGACTGATTTCAATCCCTGAAGCATGCTTCCGAATATGTGTCCTCTCCACAACAAACAGAAATATGAGAAATTCACCTGTACAACTTTAAACTTTGCAGTATATCGATAAATAACGTCATGTGAAGTGTTAAGTTACTCTTATAAAAGTAACTTGTGTGGTCCACTTCCCAAATATTGGCACATTTCATCCCTGAGAAGCTTAAAGTCCAGAGAAAAGTAATCTTATTTAAAATATTTTTTTTAAAGAAAATCTGCAAAAACCTAAGTTCAACCTTTTACCTTCTCTGCAGACATGACGTGGCCTCCAAATTCAGCTCTCCCACCGCTTCTTTTTATGGCTTAGAAAATAAAAAAGCAGACCTCTCAGGGGAGATGATGACAGAGAGAGAAAACCCTGTGCTCACTGCATCTCCATCAGCAGAAAGTTGTTAATAGGATTTATGTGTAAAGCCATCTGCTCTGCAGGAACACGTCAACGGGAGAAACCAAGAAAGGCTCGGGAGGAGGGAGAAGAGTTGTTTGTCACGTGTTTCAACCATTCAGAAAACTACATGAAAATTTTCTTTTCAAGGTTTGCATGCCAGTGGCTGCTCTATATGTTTTATCAGTCTGTTGTTGCGAGCATCACCTTCTTTGCTGTGGCGTGCTGGGGTGCAGGCATCAAAGCAAACAGACTAAACAAACACATCAGGAAGGTCGAGTCTGTTGTTGGCATAAAGCTCGTCACCCTGGAGGAGATGATTAGTGACAGTATGCTGGCAAGACTGTTGGCAATCACGGACAATGAATCCCACCCCCTCCATAACACACTGGACAATCTGAAGAGCAGTTTCAGCAACAGGCTTCTTCAATCTCGCTATCTGAGGGAACATTACAGTAGGTCGTTCCTTCCCGTTGCTATCAGACTCTTTAATTCATCCACTTGGGTCAGATCCACACATGTGGAACACAATTAATCACACATCAATGCACTCTGTCACTTTTGTACACCACTACATATTTGCACACATACTTGTCATTTTATATTTATATGTATATTCATATTTATGCATATATCTCTATATTTATCTATCTATCTTAATATTTATCTGTCATAACTCGGTTTCTACTGTTTGTTGTATATTTGCTGCTATGACAACTCAATTACCCTCTGGGATTAATAAAGTTTCTCTGATTCGGATTTCGGAACCAATTACTTCTAAATATGTGAAATGTCAACAAAGCTGACAGTTAGTGATGTTTTTATTTATTAATTTTTTTGATGCGTTAATTGTTAATCCCAATAAAAATCCAAAAGTCCAAGACCCAAAGATATTTTGTTTCATTTCAAGGAAGAAGCTTGAGAAGCATTAAGAAGAATCATTCAGTCCATGACAGTTTTACAAAAACAATTAATAAAGCAGTAAAGAAACAATTTATAAAGCAGTCAAACTCTTACTCTTGCTATAGCCTGCAAATGCAATGGTGGATATATTAGATTAACAGGTCACTGGGCCTAAGTAGGTCCACCCGATAGCAGCACATAAAGCTTTCCCTTCTTATTGGTTTAGCGCTACTTGGCCTGTATCATTGGAAACTGAGTGTGGTAGCGCAGTAATAACCATTCTTCATCCATAAACCTGATGGCATGAGGAGAAAAGGAAAAAAAAGATGAAAAATGCTTGCATGGTAAGGACTATCAAAAGCTCTAAAGTGCTGCATGGAATGTTTACATACTGTACTTGCCATTCGTCCAGGCCTCTTTCATGATGTGTTTGTGGCATGAATTGTAAGACATCCAGCAAAAATCGTGTGATTTTAAACCTACTTGTACATATTTATACGTATTACAACCAAAATGTACTCATTTATAGACATACAATTCTTTAGTAGGTGTGTGGTTCTTAGGCAAGGGTGTCTCATCTACTCACAAGCCTCCATATAAACAGTGAAGCCCACAAAGTAGTCACGTGATACAAGTTGTAAGAGGATTTTCATCAAGCAACAGGTCCCCCCATGAACTTGCAGACAAACATGATGCCATGACTGTTCAACTGGGATTACTATAATCAGCTATTCACCATCTGTGCACATTTTGTTTTGATTTTTAGCATCAACTCTGTGGAGAAACACGGAAGATGGAAATTTAAAGAGATTCAGAACAAACAAAAATGTGCAGTCTTAATTCAGGTAGGTGTAACCGCACAGTCACACTGCATTACAAAAAGACTACTGAATCTAGAGATCTGGTTATAACCACAAGCCCTGCGATTTCCTTCCTGCTTTCATTTAAAAATAGAGATTAAAAATTAGTGTCACTATCAAAAACAAAGTGTCATTTCCTCAGCTGACCACCAGATGCTGCTGTACCCCAAGAGACAGAAAACAATGCATGAAGCAGCTGGGAGACACCAGAGGGAACATGGAGAAACTGTAATTTGATTCATCTCGACATATTTTAAAAATGACGGCTTGAATCACAAGCTGTCACATTCACAGTTAAAAAGGAGGTTTTCTTCATCATCGTGTCCCATGCGGCTGTAGCCTGAGTGCTCACAGAGGGAATGGGAGGAAATAAATCAAAGCAGAAGTGAACAATAACAAGTAATAGGAAACAAAGACGGGAAAGCACTGTGTTTTGTAGTTTTATATGGGCCAGACTCTTTGTTTTTCTGCATCACTGTGCAGCTCACACTGTCCAGACTGCTGACTACTGAAAACGCTCTGGACTAATGGCCTTGCTGGCATTTCTGCAAATGCTTGACAGTAACATGGCAGCTGGCAGGCGGCCTAAGGAGGGCGAGTGACCTTAAGGGAGCAGCAGAGAAGCCATCACGATCTTAAAGAGACAGAAACCACGGCGTGTTTCTCACCATACAGTGTGTCTCTCACCATACAGTGTGTCTCTCACCATACAGTGTGTCTCCAGCCCATTTTATTTTTATTTTTATCACCACGAGGAAGATAGTAAACATCGTCAAAGCAATGAGAAGCAGTGTCACGGACTACACCAGAGCGGCTGTAAAAGCAGCTCTTACTATGCCAACAACTGTAACAACAAGCCTGAATGAAATGAAAACACATTAATCTTTGTTATGGTGAAATGGAGGCCATTCAAAGCAGTTGTGCAAACACTAAGCAAAGAAGATATATGTTGAAATACATATAGCTTGACCTTGGACCTGAGGAGGGGGCATGATCGTGGTATTTTAGTTCACCCATGGGTTTAGTGCTGAAACAGCATGCTGGTAAGGACGTGAACCCGGTGGCACTCTAAAACCGAGTGAATCAACTCAGAGAAGGCCCATATTGCAGGAAGCACAAACAATGAAGACGAAACAGGGAAATCTGGTTTACATGAGTATATCCTCAAAGGGAAGACTGTCTGAGGAAGGTGGAAGGATAGCAAAGAAGACAATGGCAGGAGGTCTTTTCCATTCATTATAAATGGAAATATGTTATTCAGGAACAAAAATAGCAGCTTGGATTGTACAAAGATCAAACCTCTCAAGCATACAAGCACAATTCACGTACAGACATAACACAATAACTGCATTCATTTTAAGGTCTTTATGGTATCATATTTATATTCTGATTTACCCAGCTCTTCTCGCTTAGTTCTTCTTCTACTCCTCGCGTGTGGGAAAGTCCTCATCATTTCGTCACCTAAAAGTCAAGGAAAATCTCAACGAAACATTTAAACTGCTTCAGTGAATGTATACTTGCTGACATTGACTGTTACAATAGTACCCCATCTAAGCACTAATTTTAAGAACTGAGGCTAAAAAAGCTAAATCATTTTAAAATGTTGCTTTTCTGTTTAGATTTTTATTTATAATGTTCAGAAATAATTTTTTAAAATGCATGGATTCCGGACAAATGCCAGGAAAAAACCCTGTAAACAGAGTTGTTAGTGGAAATCTTGACATATTGCTAATGCAAGAGAAAAAGCTAAACAATCCCAAACCTCTTTTAGGATTTGTAGTGAGTGTAGAGATGGCTGGGTACAAATCCATGGATACCATACTGTGTTCAGCTATAATACAGGCCACTTGAGTCCAACATGGACAAACAGACACACCTAAATGAACAAACCTCTTCATTTATGCCACTGATATATTGATTTTAGTAAAGGGTGAAACAATAAAATATCTTTCTATTTTCATAATTGAGCTTTTCCAAGGATTAAATTGATGGGAAGATTAAAAAACATGCTGAAAACCAAAGTTTGCTAAGGCACAAACATAAAAAATTGCCAAATCAATGAAGGAACAAATTAGAAACACTGGCTCTCTCAGAAGCCTCGCTAGTAGCTCATTCTTGTTTATAAAATCCTCCGAGCTGGATAATAGCAGGTCAACTAAAGGCTGTATAACATACAGTGTATTAACTGAAACTACCTAGCCATAACACTCTTGAAAAGGGTTAAAGGTTGACTTAGATTGTAGGTGACTAGGTGATGACAAATGTAAACAAGGGTAGAGTCCCAGTGAAGAGAGTCCTTACACATTGGCACCAACTAAACCTGTAAAAATATACAATAAACACAAAGATACACATATATGCATAGGTGAGTGTGCTTCTCATATGTGATACTTGTACATAGCTGCGTGAAGGGTCATAGTGTTTCTTGAGTATAGATAGCAAAAGTAATACAATGTTGCAATATAGCAGGGAAGGATTCAGAATCTAGAAATTTGACACAAACTCGAGGTGTGATCAAAAAGCAAAAAAACAGTTTATTCTTTATTTAGATTTTATAGCACAGTACTGCCCACTACTCAAAAAAGTATTAGAATAACAACTAAAACCCCTTGAGACCCAGAGCTTACTCTTAGACTATAAGAAAATCACTACTCAGGCTAAATTACTGCATCAGTAAAAACATAAACCTAATTTTTTTTGCACTTCCTGTCACTGAGTTCATTATTCTTTAATGCCAATCTGTGTAAAAGTTGCATAAAAAGCACAGTTGGAGTGCTATAAATTCTTAAGAAGGCAGCAACGTGGAGGGTCAGACGACAATCCCGGGGCCACTCGGAGCAGAAAAGAAAAAAAGAAAAAGGCAGAGCAGCCAGGATCTTGTGCGAACTGTAACACAAGGAGTGCTGAGCCTCGTGAGAGCTTGACACACATCTGAAAAGTAGGACAAAGTATCCAGGAAAGAGTGCTGTAGCTTGCATTTCCTATTCTCTGGGTGTCTGTGATAGAGACCAGGCTTGCTTGAGCGATTCAAACCACCGTGGATCTCTAACAGATGTACTGCTGCCTTAAGGATTGAGCTGGCATGAGCTGACATTACCCTGAGAGCAGAGTAAAAGTCCTGAGAGCGGTCACTGCCCTGAGCCCCCAAGAGAGTGTGGGTGGTGGGAGAGAGTGCAAAAAGACAGCGCTCTCCTCACAGATTTGTCCTCGCTGTTCTTCTGAAA